AACAACAACAACAACAACAACAACAACCCAGTAAAATCCCACTAGTGGGGTCTGGGGAGGTTAGTGTGTACGCAGACCTTACCCCTACCCCGAAGGAGTAGAGGCTGTTTCCGAAAGACCCTCGGCTCAAGAAGACAAAAGGACAAAAGAAGATAATATTGGTAACACCACAGAAATAATATGAAAGAAATATATATAAACATGAAATCAAGAGGAATGATACAAAGCAAAAGCAAAATAGTATCCCTACCAAACTAGTCTCCCAAAGTTATGGCACAAGGCAAGACTCAACTACCTCCTGGCCTCCAACCCTAATACTCGACCTCCACATGTTCCTATCAAGTGCCATGTCCTCGGAAATCTGAAGCATCGCCATATCCTGCCTAATCAACCCCCAATATATATATACATATATATATATATATATATATATATACACACACACACCCCACCTAAATATCAACCCCCAAAATCTCATGTATAAATAGCCTGTGATCCCTCCTCTTTCCCTCCCCTTCTCCTTCCACATTTCTACGAAATCCTTTCCTACCGTTAAGGGGCAATCTTTCCAAAGCACAAAAAAGGAAGAAGACACGAATATAAGTTCCGGCAAAATTCCTCAAAAACCTTATTTTCTACCTCCAAGAAAAGCATTACACAAAACGTTAATATGGATTATCCTAAATTTGTGTTGGAAGCCTCAGAGGCTGAGCTCATGGCTCAATCCTTTGGCCTCCCCTCCACCCTTCAACTTTTGCCAACGTTGATTGAACCAGCCAAGAACCATGCCTGCCCTCCCATCTCAAATTTCCATGTTAGCGCCGTTGGCCTTGGCTCCGATGGTCGCGTCTTTCTAGGCGTTAACCTTGAGTTCCCTGACCTTCCCCTTCACCATACTGTCCATGCCAAGCAGTTTTTACTCCTCAACCTCGCTGTCCATAACTGCTCTCGCCTCGTAGCTTTTGCGGTCTCTGCTGCACCTTGCGGCCACTGTAGACAGTTTCTTCAAGAACTACGCAACTCTTCCACTCTCCAAATCCACATCACGTCTCTGCAGAACAATAATCCTGATATTACATTCAAGCCTTTTGCTGAATTATTTCCCTACCCGTTTGGTCCACTTGATCTTTTGGACGAGGAAACTCCTTTGCTGCTCGAGCACCATCATAATAGTTTATTTCTGTCTATAGTAAGAAAATTGACCTTAGATCTAACTCAACCCCAAAAACTGGTTAATGGGGTGAGGATTGTTTAGGATCAAATAAGCGAGACCATTTCCAAGAAGGGCAATTATCATGGACATGCATATAATGGGTCATCAAGTCATGAATCAGAAAGCGAATCTACAACAGTTAATGGTATTATGAACTCTGGAATATTAAGCAATGGGTTTTGGGTAAAAAATGAAATAGAGAGTACTACCCTTTTGAAACTTGTAGCTCTGGAAGCTGCTAATGATTCACATGCACCATATCGCGGGTGCCCATCTGGGGTGGCACTCATGGATTGAGATGGTAAGTTTTATAAAGGTTCTTATGTGGAATCTACTGCTTATAATCCAAGTTTAGGGCAAGTGCAGGCAGCACTTGTGGGTTTTGTGGCTAAGGGAGGAGGTGAATATGAAAGGATTGTGGCGGCAGCTTTGGTTGAGAAGGAGAGAGCAAAGGTGAGACAGGAAGAAACTGCCAGGCTGCTTTTGAATATGATTTCTCCTAAATGCGATATCAAGGTGTTCCATTGCCATGTTGCAGAAAAATGATGCCAAAAGGCTTCAACTTCATGATAATTACTTAAACTTCTTTGCATGACTATAATCTGCAATCATAGATTGGCATTGATGTCATCAGTCAAGCCTAATGGTGAATAAATGAATGAATGAATGAAGAAACAAAACTGGATCCACCTCTACATCATTTTCCTGCCTCGATCAACAGTGCTTAACATTTCAATATAAACTTGCAAAAATATCTTACTGGTTCTTTGCTTTTAAAAGAAAGCACTTTTTTGTAATTATAGTTATTTGATTTACGTTTCTTTATTTATCTTCCTGATTAAGCAAATTTTATATAGGGTGTACAATATTTAAGAGTAATGTCTTGTACACTTTACAAAAGTGTCTGTTGAATATGCAGTTACTTTGAGTAGATTGCATGTCAAAGGGTACTTTTCTCTGTTTTCTTCTGCTCTCTTTTTAAGCTAATCAAAAAGAGGAAAAAGCTTCTTTGAGTAGATTGGATGTCAAAAGTGTCTGTTGAATATGCAGTTACTTTGAGTAGATTGCATGTCAAAGGGTACTTTTCTCTGTTTTCTTCTGCTCTCTTTTTAAGCTAATCAAAAAGAGGAAAAAGCTTCTTTGAGTAGATTGGATGTCAAAAGTGTCTGTTGAATATGCAGTTACTTTGAGTAGATTGCATGTCAAAGGGTACTTTTCTCTGTTTTCTTCTGCTCTCTTTTTAAGCTAATCAAAAAGAGGAAAAAGCTTCTTTGAGTAGATTGGATGTCAAAAGTGTCTGTTGAATATGCAGTTACTTTTCAGGATCACACTCATTGGTAGGGGTGTACATAGGTCGGGTTGCTTCGGATTTTTCAATTACCAAACCAAACCAATGGTATCGGGTTTTTAAATCTATAAACCAAACCAACAAAGTCGGGTTTTTCAATCTCGGTTTTTCACGGATTTTTCAGTTTTTTTTTGGGTTTTCGGGATTTTTTTCGGTAAAGTTTTTATAGCACAAAATATGTAACTTGTGCTCTAAATATTTCTTTAGTCCTATTAAGATACAACTATATATTGTATTTTTCAAGAAAATAACACAATAATATGAGATAAGTCATAACATTATACTAAAATATTCATTATAAAGATAATAAAATTGCATAAAGCAAATATTGTTAATTACTAAGCCATAATAAAAATGAACATAATCTAAATATACTATATATGTCATGCTAAAATAAGTATAGCTAATATGTACTTTTAATCACATAAATAAGCAGTAAAGAAAAAATAAATTAAGTTATGCACTTTCATCATAAACCAGTGTAAACTAAAAAATAGATATCCAACACTATCATCATATTCCTAGTGTTGAATTGAGTTTCTTTTGTTAGCATTAGTATTGATTTGAACTTTGTTTGAGTTACTACATTTATGGGCTATAAAATTTATTTATCATTCAAGAATGTTAAGTCCAAACTTGAAAGAATACGTTAAAAGATGAAATTGTGAAAAAGTTTAAGAAATATTTATAAATTACATTACAATAAATATTTATATGTATAAAATATTTTTAAAAATTATATAAATGTACTATCGGGTTGGTTTAGTTTCTGTTTGACTTTTTTTAGTTAAAACCAAACCAAACCAATTATGGTTGGGTTTTCTTTTCTAATACCAAACCAAGTCAAAACAAACCACAATCGGGTTTTTTTTTATTTGACACGGATTATCGGTTTAGTGCGATTTATCAGTTTTCTTTGTACACCCCTACTCATTGGCAAGGAAAAATATGCCTTAGAGCTTTGATGTGACATTGAAGCGCCCGCAAAGCGAGGCAAGGTTTGTTGAATTCATTCGGAAAACCTATTGAATTGACGCTGAGAATCGGGAATAGTTGCTGCTTCGAGGAGCTCGTACTGGGCATTGTTGAATCCTCTACTGCTGGGTTCTTTGCTGAGATCAATTGTGTTAATCTGCTTGACTAAAGTTGATTCGAGCTTAAAGCATTGCTTCAGTACCTTGCTGTGAGGATTGAATTTTAAGCTTAAAGCATTGCTTCAGCATCTATTAATCCAAGTGTAGTGGTAAAATTGCTGAACTTGAATTGTTTCTAGCTCGGTGAAATCGACTCCACCATTGATGCTGAACTCAACTGGCTTTTAGTTGTTTTGGGTTAACCCGGATAGGTCAGTTATTTATGGGTCTAACGCCACATGAATCAATACATCAGTGACACCTATTTAATTAAAGGACCCACATTTGCCATCTTATAGTTCTGATAGAAAGAGGGGCATTTTTAACCAAAAGATTAAAGTAAAGGTCAATTTTGGCCCAATAGGTAGGAGGAGACAAATTTAAACCATTTCCAATACGTTAGGGGCATTTTCGACACTTTTTCTGTAAAATATAAGTTGTGTCACTAAATTGGATGACAAGGTAAGAACCAGAAACTCATACTGCCAAATGAAATGAGAAGAAGCATATTATTACCAGGCCGTCCAGCCACCAAATTGGTCAAAGTGAACTGCAAAACCAACATGCCAAACAAGTATTCACTCACAGATATTCGCGAGAATCACAGCCATTTGAAGGAGCTGAAGCTCAGGCATTGAACTTTCCGGTTGGAGGAACATCCCCTTTCATTACTCTCCAAGGGCCACCTTAAAACATTGGTTTCATTAGAGGCACTGCTTCCCCAGGATGTTCTTCCCAGTATTTCTCCTGTCAGAATGAAGAGAAAGCTTCTATATTAAGACAAGATTTTAGAAAAAAAAAAACAGACATCACTGAAAAGTAAATCTTTTGATCCTCCATGCATAACCCCAAGCCTCTTATGTTGATCAGAAGAATTTACATCTCTCATAATAGTCTTCACAAGTGGAAATGGGTCATGATCTTGAGCAATGAAAATTCATTCCATGTAGCAGATAAATACCAAAAAAAGAAAAAAAAACGATTAATCTAGTCTTACAAGAAAGGATCAGCAAAAAGAAAGAGAACCAACTTGAATAGCAGAGACATGAAAAAGCGAATAATCCTCCTACTTTGACTGCATTGAGGTTCTAACATAGGAAGACAGACATTCACTCCTTGACTTGTACATTAT